AAGATACGTTAATACAACTTCAAGCTCCTTAAATATATTCAGACTCATTTTGTGGCTTACTATATGATCTATCTTGGAAAATGTTCCAGGTACACTTGAAAATATTGTATATCCTGCTGCTTTAAGGTAAAATACTCAAAAAATATCAGTTAAACCCATCTGGTCTAATGATTCATTTAAGGACACTGTGTTCTTGTTAATTTTCTGTCTGAAAGATCTTTCTATTGATGTCAGTGAGGTATTAAGTCCTCTACTATGACAACATTTTTATTGATCATTCCCTGTATGTCCATCAATATCCGCTTTATGTATTTAGGTGTTTCCATGGTGGCTGCATTAAGATTTACAAGAGTTATATACTCTTGTTGTATTGATCCCTTTCTCATTATGTAAAGTATTCCCTTGCCTTTCATTATAGTCTTTGTTTTAAAGTCTATTTTATCTGATGTAAGTATTGCTGCCCCAGACTTCTGGTCAAGATGGAGGCATAGGTAAGCATGACGTGCCTCCTTGCACAACAATAGTTAAAATTACAAGTAGACTCCAAAACAAATATTACCCACATTTGTTAGAAAATCAAGCAGTATGGAACTCCAACAACCAGGGGATTAAAGAAGCCACATTCATCCAATGGGTAGGAGGGGCAGACATGTGGAACAAGCAGTCCCACACCCACATGTGGTAGATAAAAGTCAGGAGGGATACGTCAGGTGCAAGAGATCCCAGCCCCATACCAGACCACTCAGCCCAAGGTTCCAGTACCAGGAAGATAAGTCCCCATTACTTCTGGCTAGAAAAACCAGTGGGGGTTGGGGCAGCAGAAGAAACTGTAGGATTTTCAGGAGTCTCCGCTTAAAGGGCCCGCAATGGACTTAGGAATTATGCAGACTCACTCTGGGCTTCAGCACCAGTGCAAAGCTGGAAGGGCACCAGAAATTGAAGTTTCTAGCATCAGGGCAAGTGCGAGGTGACAACTTCCTCCACGACAAAACTCCAGAGGCCAGACAGCAGCACTGTCTCCCTTCTAAGCCCTCACCCACACAGAACCACAGAGTGGCAACACAGGTTGCTCCACCCTCGCAATTACCTAATGCCCCACCCCACCCAACTTACTGGTGAACTTTTTCTACATTGGGCCATGCTACTAAGACAGGGAGTCAAAACAGCTGTACCTAATACACAAAAACAAACACAAGGCGGTTGCCAAATTGAGGAGACAAAGAAAGATGGCCCAAATGAAAGAACAAAACTCCAGAAAAAGAGCTAAACAAAATGGAAATAAGCAATCTTGCAGATGCAGAGTTCAAGACACTGGTTATTAGGATGCTCAAGAAACTCACTGGCTACTTTAACAGCATAAAAAAGACCCAGGCAGAAATGAAGGTTATGCTAAGTGAAATAAAGAAAAATTTACAGGGAAACAACAGTGGAGTAGATGAAGCTGAGAATCAAATCAATGATTTGGAATATAAGGAAGAAAAAAACCAATCAGAACAGCAAGAAGAAAAAAGAATCCAAGAAAATGAGGATAGGCTAAGGAGCCTCTGGGACATCTTCAAACATAAACCTGCCAGAAGGAGAAGAGAAAAAGCAAGAAATTGAAAACTTATTTGAAAAATTAATGAAAGAAAACATTCCTAATTTGGTGAAGGAAATAGCCATACAAGTCCAGGAAGCAGAGAGAGTCCTAAATAAGATGGACACAAAGAGGACCAATCAAGATGCATCATAATTAAAATGCCAAAGGTTAAGGATAAAATCTTAAAAGCAGCCAGAGAAAAGAAGACAGTTACCTGCAAAGGAGTTCCCACAAGACTGTCAGCTGATTTCTCAAAAGAAACTTTGCAGGCTAGAAGGGACCGGCAAGAAGTATTCAAAGTAATGAAAAGCAAGGACCTAAAACCTAGATTACTCTATCCAGCAAAGCTATCATTTAGAATGGAAGGGCAGATAAAGTGTTTCCCAGACAAGGTAAAGCTAAAGGAGTTCATCATCGCCAAGCCATTATTACATGAAATGTTAAAGGGACTTATTTAAGAAAAAGAAGATCAAAACTATGAACATTAAAATGGCAATAAATTCACAACAATTGAATCTAAAAAACAAACTAAGCAAACAAGCAGAAGAGAAACAGATTCATAAATATGGAGATCATTTGGAGGGTTATCAGTTGGAAGGGGTAAGGGGGAGAACAGGAAAAGGTACAGGAATTAAGAATTATAAATTGGTAGGTACAAAATAGACAGTGTGGTGTTAAGAACAGTATAGGAAATGGAGTATCCATAGAATTTATATGCATGACCTATGGACATGAATTAAGGTTGGCAACTGCTGGAGGAAATGGGGAGAACCAGGCGGAGGGGAGGAAAGGGGGGAAAAAATTGGGACAACTGTAATAGAATAATCACTAAAACATATTTTAAAAAGGAAGCATTGCTTCCCCAGCTGTTTTTCATTTCCATTTTCATAAAATATCTTTTTCTATCCCTTTACTTTCAGTCCATATATGTCTTTTGATCTAAAGTATGTATGGGTCTTGTTTTCTTACCTGTTCAGCCGCCCTGTATCTTGATTGGAGCATTTAAGTGATTACATTTTAAGTGATTGATAGTATGTAGTTAATGTCATTTTATTATTCATCTTTATGTTCCCTTTCCTCTCTTTTTTTAAAATAAAATTTGTTGGTGATAAAGTCCTTTAGTTTTTTTTTGTCTTGGAAGCTCTTTTTCTCTCCCTCAATTTTAACTGATACGCTTGCTGGGTAGAGTAGTCTTGGTTCTAGGTTCTTACTCTTTATCTCAAGTATTTTGTGCCAATCCCTCTGGCTTAAAAAGTTTCTGTTGAGAAATCAGCTGACAGTTTTACGGGAGCTCCCTTGCAGGTAACTGTCTTTCTCTTGCTGCTTTTAAGATTCTCTCTTTGTCTTTAACCTTTGCCATTTTAATTATGACGTGTCTTGGTGTGGGCCTCTTTGTGTTCCTCTTGTTTGGGACTCTCTGTGCTTACAGGACAAGTATGTCTATTTCCTACCCCAGGTTAGAAAAGTTTTCAGTAATTAGTTTTTCAAATATGTTTCTATGTCCTTTTCTTATGCTTACTGTATCTTTGTCAGAGTTCTCATTAAGTTCCTGGAGCGTCCTTATAACCAGTGTTTTGAACTCTGTATCTGGTAGACTGCTTGCCTCATTTCATTTAGTTTTTTCTCTGGAGATTTCTCCTGTTCTTTCATTTGGGACATGTTTCAATGCTTCCCTATTTTGGCTGCCTCTTTGTCTTTGTTTCTGTGTATTAGGTAGACCTGTTACATCTCCCAGTCTTGGCAGGGTGGCCTTATGTAGTGGTGTCCTGTGAGGCCCAGTAGCACAGTCTCCCTGATCACCTGAGCTGGATGCTCCAGGAATGTCCCTTGTGTGGGCTGTGTGTGCCCTCCTGTTGTAGTTGAGCCTTGAGTGCTGTCGGCATGTCACTGGATAAAACTGACCTTTAGGCTGACCAGCTGTTGGGTACTAGATATGAACACAGCTTACAAGCTGCTCTGTGGGGGCTGACCCTGGGGAGTGGGATTCACCTCAGTAAGGTCTGCCAAGATTATCTCTTATGGAGCTAAATGGGTGCTGCTGTTGTGTCTGAATCCAACTACTGGGCATATTGGTTCTGGGGCCTCTGAGGGACTCCAGTACAAGTCAATGTCAGACACTGACTGTGACCACCTCAGGACTACCTCCTAGGAACTACAAAGTGATCTGCAGTTGGTAGTTGCCTGTGCTGGCCCTGGATGTATGTAGGCGATGCCACGCTGTGATTCAAGGCAGGCTGCCACCCATACTGGGCCATGGGCAGGTCACCAAAAGGCCCAAGGCACCCCAAGACATGCCACCACCTGCCAAGTGGCTGCCTATAAGACTCAGCCATGGAAAGAACCTTGGCCAGTAAGAGTATGAGAGTTGGATGAGGCAGGGCCTCAGGGAGTCACCAGGATGCAGTGAGTGGTGTTCACCAGGTTAACAGATTCATCTTTGGTGCTATTGCTGAGCCTCAGGCCACACAGCAAACGTCTCAGAGTATCTGAGGAGAGCTGCCATCCGCCTGGGGCCTGTGGATCTTTGCAGTGGACAGGATATCAAGGAGTCATCAGGAAAAAGCTACTAGAATTCACCAGGCTAAAGCATAATCAGGTTTGGCCACACAGGAGATGGCTCAACATAGGGACAATAGAAGCTGTCGCTCCAGCCCATGTCCCGAAGCCATACATCTCAGTTGTTCCCTGTGTATAATTGACATCCCTCTTCCCCCTACCCTACAGCCCCTGGCCAACCTGACCAGAATTCCTCAAAAGTTTTTTAAAACTGCAATGTGGGCCCAAGCTGGTTGCTGAGGAAAAAGCCTGGGGCCATGCACTAGCTGGGTGGGGAAGGGTCTCAGGTAGTCATCAGTGGAGCTAGTGGAATTCACCAGGCTAATCGAGGTTCAGATTTGTGCATCTCAGGGAAGGGCTCAACAAGGGAGAAATGGTGCCTGTTGGCTTTGCAGGAGGAGTTCTCAACACAGGGGCAATGGCAGATGTCCTCTCAACCCTCACCCTGAAGCCACACAAGTCAGTTTCTCCCTGTCTCTGACGCCCACCTGAGCCACTGTCCCAACACCAAAGTGCAATGTGAGTGCCTGAGAGCAGAGTTCGTGTGTGGGCCCTTTAAGAGGACACCTGGGTTTCCAGCAGGCTTCTGTCTCACCAGGACTGACTGACAAGAATTCCTGCTGATTGCCACAGCCAGCTCCTCTTAGCAGAAATTAAGTTTAAATTAAAATAAATAAATAAATAAATAAATAAAATATATAATATAATATATAATATATAAGTAAATATATCAAATTTATATATATATATATATATATATAAATAACTAGGGATTTTGTGTCTATCATACTGATAAATATTATTTCTGAGTGTCATGACAGACCAACAAACACAAAAGTAAACACAATTAAATATCAACATCTACCTGTTTATCTCCCAGCAGGTCAGGTTCCCCTTTGCTAGAACTAGAGCTGACATCATCTTCATCAGAACTGTTGATGACTTCCTCATCGTCCGAAGGAAGGTCACCAAGACCAAGGTCCAGATCACTGTGTCCCTCCTGGGATGCTCCAGAACTGCTTCAATAGAAAGTGTAGCCATTAGTTACCTTTAAAAACAAGGAATAATACCAAAAAACAAACAAAATCAACCATCTTATTCATATGACATAAGCAAGGTACATACATCTAAGGGGTTTAGAGAGATAGAAATAGCCAGATCAATCAAACTTCCCCTTCCCTTTCCCCATCTCCGCTGTCAAAACACATATTCATTTTCATTTTAAAATAATCATCTTGAAAAACATGTATTTTCCTGATCAGCAGGTGGGTGAGAAGCAAGTTTCCCAGCTGCCCCCATCTTATGGTTCAATATATCCTTACTCTAGAAGATGAAGTCTCTACTAGGACAAACCAAGAAGCCACATAGGACACAGGCTGGGTTACCACAAAAGGAACATCAGAATAGGCACTGCTTCATAGGGTCTCTTTGTTTCATTTAGCTAATAAACCTACAAGGATTGGGAAGTAATGATGGCTATCACAATCAACAATGCATGTGCTAATGTGAATATGTGCCCACCTGTCTGTTTACAACCAATTTCCTTTTTTATAACCACATCATAAGACCTGGGAAGGAAAGAGGATGTTACAAACTCTCGGGCTCTGCTCCAGGTCTGCTGATTCAGAAACTCTAGGGGTGCACAGACCCTAGGCGATACATGATAAAGGGTGACACCAGGGTACCAGGCCATTTACCAATTCTTCCTCACCAGCCTGACATCATCATTTCCCACTTAGTATTCAGACAGATCTCTTGAATGTAAAAGCCATTGTTGCAATCCAATCAGTGGGGGGGAATTCCATAGCAAAGTTCCCCAGGAAGTTGACAGAAATAATACTTTCTAGCTCTGGTTGTAACATTCAGGAACAAACTGCCAGGGGAACTGCTTTCCTGTCTGTAGTCTGCAAAAATATCTGCAGAACAGAAGTAAGTAAAAGATCCACAGAAAATCATCCAGGGAAACGCTCAAGTAGAAAATAGAGAGTTGCATTTCACTCTGGCAGGCCCTTTAGCAGGTCATGGGCAGGTCACTCAATGGCCAAGGATCCCACAAATTATGGAAATTTCTAACGGGAATCTTAAAAGCTCAAGATAAATTTTTTTGCCAGTTCCTGTAGGACACAGACTTGCCTCAGATGCCATTCTTAAGCCCAACTGTTAAACAAACCAGTTGGATGAAGGCAGAATGCCAAAAAAAAAAAAAAAAAAAAAAATCACTTCCCCTGCCAAAGATGGGGTTTCCTATTACTCAGTGCCTGGAGGGCCTTGTGGAATCATACCAGCCTCAATTAGGTGGGTGCACACCTTATCATATTCCCCATGACATGAAAGAGACTCATTCCCTAGTGAGTGGTAGAGGTGAAAAACAGGAGATTTCTAGACAGATCACTGGCAAGCTTCCCTGCCTCTGGGTGTCCAGAGATGAGACCACCCCAGCTAGGTAATTAGTTGATTTAGATTAACAAGAGTAAATGAGAGTTAACAGATCTAACAGCCTGCGGGATCCACCCATATAAACAGATGAAACATGGAGCTTTACTTGTTTTCATCTTAATTGCTGGTCCCTTAATAGTCTCTAAAACCCTGTCACTCAGAACATATTCAAACTATGAGCAGCTTCAGCATCACTAGGGAGCTTTTCAGAAGTATAAAACCTCAGGTCCAGCCACACCCCACTGATTCAGAAGCTGGTTGTAACAAAATCCTAGTAATTTGGGTTTTTTTGGATCAGCCTCTCTGTGCATTCTTTTGGATTCAACAGCATAAAAATTTCAAATAATAAGTTATAGAGCTATGGCACCTTTGAGGAAATTACATTTATTTTGTCTAAAAGCAGAGCTAAGAGGCTTTTCCTAACATTTGGAAAGCTATTATTAAGAAGAGAGCAACCATTAGGGAAGTAAATGTTTATAAAAGTTAACATTTAAGAACAAGGAAAAGAAATCTTTAAATATTAAAATGACATGGATCAAAACATGCTGCCATGAAACGTTCGGAGATTTTAGTTCTGAAAATTGCTTTCCTACAGAAAACCTTACCTGACCACCCCTCCATAACCCAAATTAACTTTCTTGACTCTGAATCCTATCTGAGCTTACTTGACTGCACCTGGTGGTAAATTTGAAATGTAACCTCCTTTTTGTCTGACATCTTCTCGAGGCAACAGTGGTAGCAGCTGCTCTTCAAGTTTCGCCATGCTGGAAAGTCAGCCAAGAATGACAAAGACCCAGTGAACAAATCTAGGGGCAAGGCCAAAATGAAGAAGTGGTCCAAAGGCAAAGTTTTGGGCAAGCTCAATAACCTAGTCCTGTTTGACAAAGCAACATATCACAAACTCTGTAATGAAGTTCACAACTACAAGCTTATAACCCCGAGACAAGTGATTACCTCGGAGAGACTGAAGATCTGCAGTTCCCTGGCCACGCAGCCCTTCGGGAACTCCTTAGTAATGGACTTATTAAACTACTTTCAAAGCACAGAGCTCAAGTAATTTACACCCAAAACACTAAAGGTGGGGATGCCCCAGCTGTTGGTGAAGATGCATGAACAACCTATCTCACTTGCTATACATTTTGAAAACTAATACTTTATTAATTAAAAATGTAAAGTCCTAAGGACAAGGAAATTACTGTTTTCAGTTCAATCGCCAGCTCACTGCTTGACACATAAATTTTTACTAATTAAACAAAAATATTAGAAAGCAACAAAATATTCAGAACACTTAGACAGTATGCATTTATAATTATGATAATCATAAAGAAATGCTTGGTGGGAATACTGAAAAGAGTATGTGGTTTAATGGAGAAGGGCATCCTAAGCATCACAATCAACGATGTGGAAGTGAGGATGTTTGTATTCAGAAAACAGAAAGAATATTTTGGCTGCAGCAGAAGATTCCTATCAGTAATTAATGGAAACAAGCTTGGAGAGGATGACAGGTGCCAGGCTGTCAAGGGGCAGGAAAAGTAGCTAGAGTTTATATTCATCTTATGGGCCTTCAACAGGGAAGCTCAAATTTTCCACTAGATCACCAAGCTGTATGTCACTACCATACATCTTTCTTGTTAGTGCCATAGGGAAGAGAATGGCACCTCGTCGGTCAATCAAACTTGGTAAGCACAGCCATTGCCCGACTCCTCCATCTCCCAGGAAAAAGGACATTCCTATTTATTAGCATCAGTGTGAGCCCCTTGATGATCTCAAAGCTTAAGTCAAAGTTAAAGGAGCTTCCCACACACCTGAATGGTAAACAGTCGAGACGATTCATGATTTCTGAAGCTTTGGGAGGAAGATTAATCTTGAACTAACTGGGGTTGGGCACAGTGACAGAGTAAGTGGAAGAGGATCTAGAAGGTAATTTCAATAGTATAGGCAGCCTGAACCAGTGTGGCTACAACAACAATTGAGATGAAGAGTTGAATATCATCAGGGCTAGGGTAAAGAGGTGGGGAAAAACTCTAGTCTTTCTTCAAGGCTTCATGAACGGTCACCAGCAAAGTGAGACTGACATTAACCAAAACAGAAATATGTTAACAAAAATCTTAGTTTAAAGGAGTGATAATGACTTTAGCAGCAAAATCAGGAAAGATGGCATTTGGATCCACATTTACATGTTCATCTTTACATGATGAAATGGAAAGAAACCTGTGTTGACTAACCTAAATTCCCCATATATTCTTAACAGCTTTCAAATCCACCTAGATGATTTCAGATTTCTAATAGTGAAATATGGATTCTTTACTAATGACAGTCACTGAGCTTGGGGCTCTTCCATTCCTTATATTTCCTTCCCACCGTCAGGAGGATAACGCCCTAACACTGTCTGCACTGGGGTTAAAGAAACAGGACATAGTGTTTCCTCTGCACCTTCCTGTGTAGTTATATCATAATTTGAAAATCGAAGTAAAAGGAAAGCAAGCTGCAACAACAACCAGCAGTGTCAAGACTACTTCCCCAGGCTACCATTTCCACGTCAGATTTGATTCTACAGTAAGTGTTCCTTCCAGAAAATGATTTTTTCAAGTACACTGGAATAAAAATGGACAAATGTAAAACCTAGAAGTAAATTCCCTCTGATTGGGGAACTGTTCCTTCACTTACACATGGCAAGGATCTATATATTTGGAGTGATAATTATTTAATGCCATCACTTTAAAAAAAAAATACTTATTTTTATGTTATTTTCTTATAGGTACAAAACATCCTCCACTGGGAGTACATCAAATTTCTTTCAGGTAAGATGTCACATAAAGGATAATTTCTCTTTTAAAAGGAAATGTCTTCTTTAAAGTGCTTATTTATCCATTTCCCCTAAGAGTTTTCAGGAACATAAAACCTGCACGATGCCAAGCCAGATATCACTACCAAAAACATTCTCATGAACCTCCATTAAATGAACAATTCCGGCAAGCACGCAGGGAGAAGGATAAGGATGACAGAGAGAGGAAGTGAGAAGCAGCATTTACTGAAGAATGCTTTTAAATCACTGTATCCTGTCCTCTGCTGTTGACAAATCTGGGCTCTTTCTCCTCTCTTGACTGTGATTTTATTCTGAGCCCTTTTACAAAGAATGTAACATGTAATTCCTCCCAAACTTAAAGAAAGAAGTTCATCCCACTACCCTCACCTTCTGGAGTTTCTTTCTCACTGCCAAGTCACAACATGTAAATATATATTTCTATGATCTTCCTCTTCCCCTTCTTTCTACTCCTGGCCCAAACTGAACAGAACCAACTTGTCCTCAGGATGTTGTTATACTTCTTTTGCTAATGCTGTCTCATTATGACTGGATAATTATGTGTTTCCTTTGGCTACTTGCATATTTATCACATATTAAGTGGAAAAACTACTACTAAGAACTTCAAGGATGAACATTACATGGAAAAATTAGGGGGAAAAAGTTAACATTATATATGATGATATGCCAACTATATAAAATTGTTCCACAATTTTCACCAGAAAAACTTTTAGTTTCTATTTAGTTTCACCAAAAACTTTTACTCTGTTACTTCAT